TCACTCTATAAGAATTTGAAACAGTCTTGCCCCAAGCGACAGAATGTCGTTGTTAGTCTAGATGAACCAAAATCCTCCTAGCCTCCCATGTATGCTCGTAATCGCTTTTACTGGCTAGCATAGCATCACCATGTTTCCGCCATTCGTACTCATTTACCTCCTTCTTCATAGTTTTTTCCTGTGGGTGTCACGTTTATTCTCCTTCCTTCCCTCAGCACCGCCTGCGTCACATGTTACGTCCCTCTCGTCCATATCTGTCTTGCACCTGTTTGTGGGTGGGCGGCGTTGCGTTCATGTCGTGCGTCATCGTGGGTCGGCTGGATGTTTTGGTGCGTGCGTGGGTGGGCGGGTTGATCATCGATTTCGGCCGGTTATCTCAATCGCTGCCTGCCTCAGTCACTGACATTCCCCCTCGCCACATCCATGGTCAGACATAACATTCGGTCAACGTTGGCCCTTCGGCCGCTCCCACTTTCTATGCTCATATTACGTGATATAAGCAAAATATCAAGGCGATCGATAAAAATAATATCAAGGGGATTAATATCAGCATAGATATCATTGGGATCTCAAGTCACGCTTTATTTGATCTACCAAAGCGGCTTGAAAGCGAAGCTTTGCCTTCCCGTGACAACGTTGCTTCGTTTCGCGATCGCCTGCTGCTGCCATTCGACATGCAGAGGCGGGGCATTTCCGTTTTTGCTCCCCCTTCGCTCCGAGCAATGAACTACAGAGCGACGGCATGTCGCATCGCTGCTCGTTGCACAGCCAAGCAAATACAGAGTCGGGGCATGTTCACTTGCGTGTCGCTCACCTTCGTGCGCGAGCAGCGAAAAACCACCTGGTGCGGGGGTCGGGCCGTCTGCTGCGTTGGCCTCAATGCCTTTGCTACCGAGCCAACGAAATACAGAGCAGACGGCATCTTCGTTCGTTCATCGCTTCCCCCATTCGTCCCGAGCAATGGCGACCTACCGAGCTGGGCATGTTCCGTTGCCTCATGCGTCGAGCCAGGCGACATACCGCGCGGCATCTTCCGCTTCGTTCGCTCCCCCTTCGCTGCTCGAGGCAAAGCACATCTACAGAGCTGGGCAATGTTCCCTCGCCTTCGTGCGCGCAGCAAGCCAACTACATAGCGTGGTTGGTCACGTTCGTTTCGCTCCCTTCGCTGCTCGAGCACCTAAATACAGAGCGGGCACTTTGCTTCGTTTGCTCGCCTCTCGCTCCTCCGCTGATGTGCTGCGACTCAGTCTCAATTTGCTGCTCGTAGGCAACGAAGCCGCGCGAAGCTCAGCGACAACGTAAGCGAATCCATTCCCCCTCTGTCATTTTCCGTTCCTCGCCCCGCAGTCCCAAGGCCGCGCAACGTTAATAGCCTCTTTTATATCGTTCTCTATAACCCTCCCCCCCTTTGATATCTATTTCATATCTAACCCTCCCTTAATATCTACTACTCGCCCGCCCCCCCTTTATATCTCTTAATTTATATCACCACTTAAGACATACAGTTGGAACGGCTCCTAAGACCTCACCCTAACATGGCGTCTTCCGTTACAGGCTCCCTGCCCTCCCAGCTAGCTAAGCGTGGTGTACCTTAGTGTGGTTACTCGCTCTCATGCATACGTGCATGGGGTCACCGTCCACATTCTGTTTGATTAGAAATGGATACTATTTTGCTACGGCGTTCATTTGACCGTACTGCACAGGCACCGTACCGGAATACCACCACCAGGCCTGCACCAGTCCGGCCGCCTAGATCAATTCACGACCATTTATCAGCACGTTGTGCACCGTGGAACTCCACCATACATATCTATACACACCGCATCTCGTTCAGACATCCTGCGTACCATCACACCAGTGACGGCCGCACGAGGGTGTGTGCGCGCGTTGTGTCACGCGACGTCGAGCGTGCATGTGGCTGTACCCATGCAGGTCCCGTCCGCTCAGGGGTTCGGTTCGAACCGAACCCTCCCCCCCGAGCCCGGTCCCCGCCCCGCCACCCCAACAACATAAAAAATAATAAGTTGAAAAACCTTTTGCACACGAATTTCAGCCTCAGTCGCTCCCTTTAGTGTAAATAATTGCCCATCCTCCAGTGCGGAGCATGCCCATTGACCACCTCCCACACCCTCCCGCCGTCGCTTTGCTCCCTCGCCCTGGTTCGCTTCGCGCCCGGAGCAGGCGTGTTTATGGGGGGTCCGGGTGTCCGACCCCCCTTGTTCGGCGCAGAAACCGCATCTGGGGGGTCTACTTAAAACATTTCTGGCCCCCTTCGCGTGCTGCAACTTTGTAGCGGCTTAACCCCCCCCCCTGGTACCATAAATCCTGTACACGCCCCTGCCGAGCAAATTGCCAACATTGAAAAACGAACCCCCCCCAATAGAAAGCTGGCTACGGGCCTGCTGCCATGCATACATGTACATACTCATTATGAACAGATGTGGAAAGAACCATGCACGCACACGAATACAGAAGTACACGCACACAGACTCACAGGCACACAGGCACTTTGACCGTTTCAATAATGAAATGATGATAAATATATCTGTTGCTTGTTTATGCTGCTATGTTGCTGCTGCTGGCGCCGCTGCCGCTGCGTGTTCACGGTCGCAGACAGTGGCTGCTTACAATGCAAACAGTCCCACGACATCGTATTGCAGCCTTGTAAACTCGCCCGAGTGTGTTTTCCTCCCGCAGTCATTACATGGTAGCGGAGGGAGAAAACTCCCCCCCCCTCCCCACAGGTCCGTCTACGCATTCACTGGAATACCAGTGTCTAAATGTGGTGTTTGTCTCGTCGAATTCTCGCATGTACAGTTCTGTGGTAGAAGCTAGGTTCGTTCACTGCAAGCAAGAGGCACGCCTTTATATGGTTTTGGTAGCGGAGCAAGAATTATAAGCTGTGCTTTTATCGACATTATGGGGTCTTCTGCTATAGAAATAAATACCCTGAGTAAATGTCTACACTACAGTTCGATGAAAGATTCACGTTGAAGAATTCATATATGTGTTACGTTTGTTCCTAAACGTTTATGCTCATTCGGTGCCTTAACCCAATCCTATAGGGTGTGGGGGGGGGTGTTCACTTCAGGTAGCATCGCAAACATACTAATCGTGCATTGGCAAACGTACACACACATCAGATATACCGCATCGTGTGTATATACGAAATCTGTAAACAGTTTCTATGGCCACGATTTTTAGTATTTGCACGAACTTGCTGGGTGTGGCATACGTCAATTGACGTGACAAGGGGGTGTTCTCCTAGGCGCACATCAATGTCACACATATTTTTAGATTAGTTTTCCTGTTTATGTAATTGACGTTGATTCTAATCTATGTTGCAGAGGACTGCTTCATCGCCTTTTTCCCTACGGAGGCACCCGCTTACGTAAGTACTCCCAAAGAGCAATCATCGCGTGTGATACGAAACCTGTAATTAGATGTCACTCTATCTGTGAGTGGCATCCCACGATGCAGGCAGTGCCAGCGAATTCTGGCGGCAGCGAAATGCGGAGGGGAGATTAATTCGCCTGCGATTTCGTTTAAAATCTGCTCGCAACAGGGGGGCGGTTTAATTCCCGCATCGGGAATGGCGTGTCGTGATGTTGTGTGGCAATGCGGGCCACCTCACTAGGCAGGCAGCGAGTTTCATTATCATCATCATGAAGTAAAAGAACCGTCGTGGCGGCGCGAGTGGCTGGCAGACACTCCTCAGTGAATGTCGACAAGCGCGAGCAATTTGCGAGTGTCGAGCCACTTTGCATCTCGGATGTGTAGTTATACTGCTTGTCACACATGTTTCAAAGTGATTAAACCTCACAAGTTACTATAAATAAATAAATAAATAAATATATATATATATACATATATCAAGAGTCCATAATATATAAAGTTGTTCAGCTGGGGCATGTTCCCTCGCCTTCGTTGCGCGAGCAAGCGAAATACAGAGCGGGGGTTGTTCACTTCGTTTCGCTCGCCTTCGCTGCTCGAGGAAACGAAATACAGAGCGGGGCATCTTTGCTTCGTTTTGCTCGCCTTCGCTCCTCGAGCTTGCTTGCTACCCCAGTCTCAATTTTGCTTGCTCGAGCAACGAAGCCCAGCGAAGTCCAGCGAAACGAAGCGAACATGCCCCTCTCTGTATTTCGCTTGCTCGCGCAGCCAAGGCGCGCAAGTTTAATAGCTCTTTTATATCGTTATATATAACCCCCCCCCTTGATATCTATTTCATATCTAACCCCCCCTTAATATCTAATTTATATCGATCCGCCCCCCCTTTATATCTCTTAATTTATATCACGACATTAATGACATTAAAGTTGGGAACGCTCCTAATGGAGCATCACCCTAACATGGCTTTCTTACGTTACAGGATCCCTGCCCGCCCACTAGGCTATGCGTGGTGTACCTTAGTGTGGTTTACTCGCGCTCATGCTACGTGGCATGTGGGGCAACATTCCTGGTTTGATTAGAAATGGAGACTATTTGCTACTTCATTGTGACTGTAATTGCACAGCGCAGTAACGGAGATACCAAACCAGGCTGCACAGTCCGGCCTGCATAGATCAATTTAAAGGACATGTTTCAGAAATTGTGCACCGTGAATGCCACAGATACATATATACACACGCATCTAGTCAGACATAGGCGTACATCACACAGTGACACACGAGGGTGTGTGCGCGCGTTGTGTTCACAGACGTGGGAGCGTGCGTGTGGCTGTACACATGCAGGCCCGTAGCCAGGGGGGGTTCGGGGGGTTCGAACGAACCGGCGGACTGAGCCACAAGAAGTGTCTTGAATGACATAGTCTTGCGCTTGGGGGCTTGCCACAGAAATGAAGTTTCTTGTAAGCATCGCGGCACCTATGGCTGGATCAGGAACTGCAGGAATTCTTGTTAGCTAATCTATGCAGACCAACGCGTTGGTACATATGATGACACGACAAGGCTATTGCACGAGCAAGTACGAGGACATCTCCTTGTTGCATGCAGCACTAATGCTTGATTTTGTCAGACGTACTTGGTGTGCCACTCCTCAACCAATCTGCAGAGCCACATGAAGTGGAGGAGACCAATGACATGGCAACAGTGTCACCAGATGATGAGCCTACGACAGACGGAACTGGAAACACTGATCTTGAATGAACTTGCCTGCCCTCTAACAAGAACCTGATAGAGGTTCCGTGTCTAGCAGAGGAGTTCTGCTAAGATGATGTGTTAACCACCGGACCAAGGAGCTCCTCAGGGCAAAACACGAATTCTTGAAGTCCTCTAGGACTACCACATTTTGGTTACAGTACATGGAGATGGTGAGCATACTACGGAAGTTTGTCAGAGCAGAGCGCATTGGCAACTGGGCGTTGCACCTTGAAGCTGTGTCAGAAATGCTGCCCTACCTGACAGCCTCTGGCACAACCTCCTACATCAAATCAGCCTGGTAGTGCAGCGGATGAGGCAAGCTCAAGGATGAATCATCCAGATGTGTAACCAACGATTCGAAGAAGGGTTCCATGTTGTCAGAAGAAGTGATCGCCTATGGGCTGGTCTGTCCGTAAATCTCACCATCGCAACAGGTCCTGATGAGGAGTATGAAGACGCAGCAGTGGCCTGACGAGAGGCGAGGCATGAACAGAGCAACAGTGTCCTCATATGGCTGCTCTCCATGCTTGCCTGTGCTGAAGTCAACAATGCTATGCAGCAGCTCACAGGCGTCAACTACAACACTGGTGAACAAAACAAGGACATGACAAATGCTAGACAAGCACGTGACATGAAAGACACACATGCAGTTATCAGCTATCTGCAAGAAGAGAACACCCTTCAGCTCAGATCCGAGCTTGCGCCAGCATCTCGATAGGAGTGCATGCAACTAGCACAGTCATTGTGGACTCAGCGAAAACTGTTGGAACAGCTACCTGACAACATGGATGGACAAAACTGCTGCTGACTACACATTCAAGGGGAAGGATCAGGCCATCACATTGCGCTGCGAAAAATTGCAGTAAAGATTGATGTGAGGCAGTACAGTGGGGATCCCAAGCTGCTTTTTCCAGCGACTGACAATTGCTGCAAAGCTACAGAGGATCTAGATCTGTGTTCAAATATGAGCTGTGCAGTTATCCACCAGCTCTGTTGATTTCACACTGCTGCTCGACAGCCACAGAAGGCAGTGCTAAGCGATGCTATCTGGACACTCCTGACACACGCATGCAGCTAGTCCACGCATTCCATGGGAACGTGGCTCAAATATACAAAGTATCTGCAACGCAATACACAGAGTATGTCACAAAGAAGTATGGACAGGCAACAGTCGTGTTTGATGGCTATGATCGTACATCAACAAAGGACACAACACTCCAGAGACGTACGAGAGGAATGCTGGAGCAAGGGGACGTTTGATGAAGATATGCAGGGCCACAATGAAAAAGGAACAATTCCTGGGCAAACAAGACAATTAAACAAGCAGCGCTTCATCAACATGCTCAGCACCAACTACGCACAGAACTGCCAGACACATCATTCTGCAGGTGACGCTGATCTCCTCATAGTGCAGAAGGCAGTGGAGTCTGCAGCCACCACTGATACAGATCTGTTCATCCTGCTCATCTACCACACCAACCTCAAGTCATGTGACCTTTCGTTCCAACCCTAGCCGAGAGAATGGAAGAAAACCGCGTGTCTGGAAATGAAGTCTGTCAAGCAGCAGTTAGGCCCGATGTATCACAGCACATCTCTCATGCACGCCGCTCTCTGGGATGTGATACTTCCCGCGTGTATGGCATTGGCAAGGGAGCTTCCCTCCAACTAAATTCAAAACCAGTACGCACTTCCCGTAAACAGCCAATGTGTTTGATGTAGCATATTGAAATGTGTGTCATTGGATTACTGGCCCCAGAAAATGTATTATGTTAGCACTTAAAACAAAGCCTAAGTCATTTAGAACGCGAGATAATGGGAAATATCAGGTTTATGGGTAATTTTGGAAAATGGCTGCCATTTCGGCTTTTTGGCAGGTTTAGCTTATCAAAATGTGTTTCAATTGATTCCTTGTCCCTGAAAATGTATGTTAGCACTTAAAATCAAAGCTCTATGTTATTTAGAAGCAGAGATATAGGGAATATCAGTTTTATGGCGGCCCTTTTGAAAAATGGCCGTCATGGAACCTTCCACCACCAGGATTCCTTAAGAAGTTTGTTGATACGTAAGTGGACACCCCAAGAGCATAAACAGTTGAGACACTTTCTGTGCAATTTGTCCGAGGTCATATCACTTAATGCCTGACTTATGTCTAAAGCGGTGGTTTGTCTCGTCGAATTCTCGCATGTACAGTTCTGTGGTAGAAGGTTCGTTCACTGCAAGCAAGAGGCACGCCTTTATATGGGTTGGTAGCGGCAGCACAAGAATATAAGCTGTGCTTTTATCGACATTATGAGGGTCTTCTGCTATAGAAAATAAATACCCTGAGTAAATGTCTACACTACAGTCGATGAAGAATTCACGTTGAAGAATTCATATATTGCTGTTACGTTGTTCCTAAACGTTTATGCTCAATTCGGTGCCTTAACCACATCCTATAGGGTGTGGGGGGGGGGGGGTGTTCACGTCAGGGTAGCAATCGCCAAACATACTAATCGTGCATTCGCAAACGTACACACACATCAGATATACCGCATCGTTGTTATTACTAATCTGTAAACAGGTTTCTATGGCCACGATTTTTAGTATTGTAGAAAACTTGCTAGGTGTGGCATACGTCAAATTGACGTGACAAAGCGGTGTTCTCCTAGCACACATCATTTCACACATATTTTTAGATTAGTTTCCTGTTATGTTAATTGACGTTGATTCTAATCTATGTTGCAGCGGACTGCTTCATCGCCTTTTTCCCCTACCGAGCACCCGCTACGTAAGTACTCCCAAAGAGAAATCATATCGGCGGATACGAAACCTGTAATTAGATGCCACTCTATCTGTGAGTGGCATCCCACGATGCAGGCAGGGCAGCGAATTCTGCGCACGGCGAAATGACGGAGGGGAGATTAATTAGCCTGCGATTTCGTTTAAAATCTGCTCGCAACAGCGGGCGGTTTAATTCCCGCATCGGAATGGCGTGTCGTGATGTTGTGTGGCAATGCGGGCCACTCACAGGCAGCAGGCGAGTTTCATTATCATCATCATGAAGTAAAAGAACCTCGCTGGCGCGCGCGAGTGGCTGCAGCACTCCCTCAGTGAAGTCGACTTAAGCGCGAGCAATTTGCGAGTGTTGAGCCACTTTGCACTCGGATGTGTAGTTATACTGCTTGTCACACATGTTTCAAAGTGATTAGACCTCACAAGTTACTATAAATAAATAAATAAATAAAATATATATATATATATATATTAGTATAT